GGGAAGCGCCCGCCCGCCCGGTGAGTCCCGCGCCGGGAGCCCCGCGCAATCCCCGCGCGGACCCGTTTCCCCCCGCGCCGTTTCGGGGCCGCCACCCAGGCGCGGCGGAGGGAGAGCGGGGCCCTGGCGGCGGGGGCCGCGCGGGGGCCCCGAGCCCCGTCTGCCCCCGAGGGGGGTTTCGCTCCGCGCGCCCGCGGGTGGTTCGGGGGCTCCCCGGGGCAGCTCTCGCCGCAGCCCTCCGCGCAGCGCGCCGCCCCCGCGGGGGCTCCCCGGGGCAGCCCCGCTCCTGGCGCGGGGTCCCGGCGGGGCAGAGCGGCACCGAGCCCAGTCTGCAGCCCGGCCCGGCCCGGCGGGCGCGCGCGGTCCCGCCGCCTCCCGGGGCTCCCGCGGCCGCTCCCGCGGGCTCTGCCCTCCGGTCTCTTTCGGTGGGATTCGCTCCGCGCCGAGGCAGGCGGCAGGAGCCTGCGCTGCAGCCGCTGTTTCCCTTGCGGCTCTGGCCCCGGAGCCTCCCGTCCGTCTGAAGCGCCTCCAGCCCCGCGCACGGAGGCCGTTTCGGCTCCTCCGCCTGTGATTTCCCGGCTGCGGAAAGGCAGCCCGTCCCCGGTCTGCAGGCTGGGCCATGGGAGCCAGGATTGGCCCTCGGGATGAAATCCCAAGCGTTTGCAAAGAGCCCGAGGGAGGTCCCGGGAGCTCCGCTCGCTGCCAGGGCTCTTGGGTCCCGAGGGGCAGGATCGGGCCCGTGCCCCCAACCTCCTGCCCCACGGCCGAGGGAAGCGGCCACGGAGCCCCGGGGCAGGCGGAGGAGCCCCGCATTCCGCTCCCCTTCCGTCCTCCCCACTTCCCAGCACAGATCCGCGACTGGGAAAGAAAGGGCGAGTGTCGGGCCCGGCCCCAGCGCGGCTGAAAGTAGCTGGAGGCCACGCTTGGATACCAGGAATAACCCCGGCCTCGGGGGCCCTTTCCTTGAAACGGGAAAGGCCGGTGCGATGTAAAGCAGCTATTTAAAAAAAGGAGCTGAAATCACCGGGATTTGGCTGCGCACGGGATAGGGCCCCCGTGGGTGCAAAGGGAGACGGTAAGAGTGAGCCTGAAGGGTAGTTGAAATTTCCCAGCTTTGTGTTAAATTATTATTACTATTATTATTAATAATAATGATGATGTAATGGAAAGGCTGTGGGCTTTGCAAAGGGCCGAATGCCCTTCCTGGCTCTCCATGGCATTTCCCGAGGATCCGCATGCGGCCGCTTCCCGGGCGTGCGGCCTGTGGCCGCGGGAGACGCCGGCACCTCCGGCTCCCTGGCTCTCCCAGCCCCGCGGGGGGCCCTTCCCACGGGGTTGTGCTCCAGGCTGCAGGATTGAGCGGCTGGAACCGCTTGCCCCACTCCCTGTTCCGTGGGCATCGGCAGGCCGCGTTCCCAGCGGAGCCCCCTTCCTACGGCGCTCACGGCCCCCGGGAGCTTCCGAGCGCCCTTTGCAGTTGAGGGGGGCCCCGTTTTCTCCTCGGCTGCACAAAGGGAGTTCCCTGAGCGCTCGGAGGCCGCGCGGAGGCTCCGGAGTGCCGAGCACCCCCAAAGGCCCAGCCAGAGGGAAAGCGGCAGCGCCGCTTCTCCCGCCTCCGCTCTCCCTCCCGCGGCTCCCGCGGCCGCGCTCGGGCGGCAGCTCCGGCCCCGCGGCGCCGGGAGCTCCCGGCTCGGCCACCTCCGACACGGCCCAGGCGGCCGCACGCGGAACGGGGAATGAGCTGCCCTCGGGCATCGGTTCCTGTGCACCTGAAATCACAGTCAGCTCCCCAGGGTTGCTCCCTTTTCCTTTTATTTTTTTGGTAATTTCCTCCCCAATTCTGCAGCGCAGCAAAGTGGGAATTAGGTCCCTGGGTGCCGTTAGGCACTTGTGTTCCCGCTGTCCAAGGCATCTCGAGGCGCTTGGATCCTGCGGGCTGGGGCAGCTGCAGCTGCGGTACCTGGGGTTTTCTTTCTCTTTTGCCACCAAATTAAACGTGTGAAATATCTAACGTTTTAGCTAAAAACGAGCCTCAAGAAAGGGGCAAGCACTGAGCAAACGGGATTGCTCTGACTTTTTATTTTCAGTCCACACAATCTCCTGCACGGTCTGTGTTCGGATTCAAATATTTTTTTACCAGCCCGTGGCAGTTTTTTTCCCATGTTAGCAAAGGTCATTTGAGTTGTGATTCCCAAGAGGAAGTCCCTGCCGCATCCAGGACCGTGGTGCATGCAAATCCCTGCACGGACACCCCGGCCCTCGACGTTTCGGGGACAGGTTGCGCTTTGTCGGCAGCGGTCACTGTTGGAACCTGTTGGAAACGTCCCCTTACTCTCTGTACGGTCTCACTCGCAAGGTTCCTGCTGGAAACTGGGGTTGGGGAGTGTCTCAAAACCATGTCCTGCCCTGGAGGCACCTGAGGAGCAACTGGGCTCTTTGGAATAACCTGCCTGCTGCCGGGGGCTTCTCCGGGGTTCCCGATCTGCCGAGGGCTCCTGCCTCGGAGCGCGGCGCTCGGCCCTGCGCACTGGGAGCCAAGCAGGGCTGCGCGCAGGAGGCACCGTGGGCGGAATCGCTCCGGGCCTCCCCGCGCCTGCCTGGCACCACCGCGAGATCCTGCACAGGAAAAGACACGGGAATCTGTAAACTCCCTGGGAACTGCTCGTGCCGTCCACCTGCCCTGCGGCCCCATGCGCCTCCCTCGGGGAAGCAGGGCAGAACCGCGTAGGTCTTTCCTTTTCCCTCCCGAAGCGTTTGCTGTGCAGAGGGCCGGGAGTAGCTGGAGGCTGAGGGTGGGAGCGCGGCCCCGTGCAATCCAGGCCCTTTTCCTGCAGCGGTGGCACCGCGGAGACGCTCCCGGCTGCTTGCAGGCGCTGCCGGGAGCTGCCCGGCCCCAGCCTGAGGCGTTGCGGGGCTGCAGAAAGGGGGGAAAACGAAAGGGCAGAAACCCGGAGCGCCACAACGTGGAGGAGCCGCAGCGCTCGGTGCCGCGCGGGTCCCCGGGGGCTGCGGCGCCGGATTTGGCTCCTCGTGGTGGTGGGGGGTAACGCGCTCCCTGCCTTCATGTAACCAGCTCCGTGCAGAGCCGCCTGGGTGCCCCCTCTTCCTTGGGCCCCTTCCCTTCACGGCCGGGGGGCGCAGAGGGAACTTGGCACCTTGGTCTGCGGCTGGGGGCTGCTGTGGCTGAACAGGGTTAACGGCTGCGGTGGCCCTGGCTCCCTCCCGGGCCCGGCTGCCCCAGAACGGAGGCCACAGGGAAATGAGTCCATAGGGATGGAAACGTTGGCCTCTTTGCCCTTGGGTACAGATGCTGAAAAACTGGGAAAAAATTCCCAGCAGCGCCTGCCTCGCAAGGAAGGGATTTGTTGTCCAGCTGGGCGGGTGGAGGTGAAGCAGCGCGCCCGCCCCGCAGGAATCCAGCTCTTCCGCAAGGCCTTCATGGGGGCTCTCGGGGTCGGCTGCCAGCTCCGGGCCAGGCCCTGCCTCTCCGGAGCAGGATCCCTGCGCACGGAGCCCTGGCTTCCGTGGGGAAGGAGCAGCAGCCGCGTGGGGAGCGCGGGCGGGCGCCCGGAGCGGGAACGCGGGAGCCGCCGGCTGCAGCTGAGCCGCCGTCTCGGCCGCGGTTGTTGCAGGGGACAGTGACCGCGGCCGCCGGGTGTGCAGGGGAGCCGCCGCGCGCTGGCCCGGCCGCCCCTCGGGACACGGGGGCCGTTTGGGCTGTCGCTGCGGGTTTGCGGCCGGCGGGAGGTCGGCAGCTCCGCGCGGCTGCCCCTGCCTTGCAGCGACACCTGCTGCACGAGGCTCCGGGAGCCCTTCCCGGGAACGCCGAGGGCTCCGTGTGTGCCGGCGGCTCTAACGCCGCGCGCTCCGTGTGCAGCCGCAGGCTCTTGGCGGCGCCGGCCATGATGCTGTGGTGCCTGGTGGGCGCCCTCCTGCCCGCGCTGCTCCGTGCCGCGCCGCCCCCCATCAACAAGCTCGCCCTCTTCCCCGACAAGAGCGCCTGGTGCGAGGCCAAGAACATCACGCAGATCGTGGGCCACAGCGGCTGCGACTCCAAGTCCATCCAGAACAGGTAGGGGCGCCCGGGGAGCCGGGGCCGCGTCCTCCTGGTGCCCATCGCAGCGGGGCTCAGCTCCCCTTGTCCCCCGTGTCCTTGCAGGGCCTGCCTGGGCCAGTGCTTCAGCTACAGCGTCCCCAACACCTTCCCGCAGTCCACGGAGTCCCTGGTCCACTGTGACTCCTGCATGCCGGCGCAGTCCATGTGGGAGATCGTGAGTACCCAGGGCCTCTCCGGGCTGCTCCGTGTGCGGGATCCGTGGCGGCCGGTCCTGGCGTCCCGCTCACATCCGAGCATCGCCCACAGTGTCCTCCTCCCGCCCAGGTGACGCTGGAGTGTCCGGGCAACGAGGACATCCCGCGCGTGGACAAGCTGGTGGAGAAGATCCTGCACTGCAGCTGCCAGGCGTGCGGCAAGGAGCCGAGCCACGAGGGCGCCCTGTTCAACGTCTACCTGAACGCGGAGGAGAGCGGCCCGGCCGAGGGGCCCGGCCCGCACCGCTACGGCCACCCTCAGCACGAGGCCGAGGAGCCGCCGGCCTCCAGCCGCCACCGCCACGACGAGGAGACCGATGAGTGACCCGGCCCCTGGGACTGTTGGTGCAGCCGCCGTGCCGGGGCCGGGGGAGGGAAGGGGTCCGGGGCGTCTTTCCTTATCCCGCAGCTTCCCTCGTGCTTTGCTCGCTGCGGCGCAGGCAGGAGGGGCTGCCGAAGCACGACGACTTGCACAGAATAGTAATAATATATTGAGAGAAGCGGGAGAGCGGAGCGGGGCCGCCGGCACCTCCTGGCTGCGCCTGGCCCTCCTGCCGAAGCCTCCTGGGTTTCCTGGTGGGAAGGGCTCTCACTGGGGGCAGGAAGGCGGCAGCCCCCCTGTGCTCCGAGGGAGATGCCGCTTTGCTGGGGCTGTCGCGCCGCCCCGCGGCCTCCCTGGGCGGCCGGCTGGGCTCGTGCAGAGCCGCTCGCAGCCCCTCTGCCCCGGCCCTGGGACAAGGGGGGTGCACGGGGGCCGGGCGGGGATGGCCTGGGCGCTCCCCTCTCTTGCCCCTGATCCAGCTGATGTCCTGGCGCTGTCCTGACCACAGCTTCCGGAGCTTGTAAGCGATGCCATCCCCGCCCCTCCTTTTTACAGGTTGTTTTGTTTTTGTTTTTTTTTTCTTAAATAAATTAGATCTGACATCCAGCCTGCAGGGCTCCCATCTCCCCGGAGGGGAGGTTTCCACACCCAGACACTTGGAGCAGGAGGGGACCGGTCTGTGTGAGCAGCACCTCCTTGTAGCCTTCAGCCAGGAGGAGGAGGAGGAAGGGGCCTCGCAGCCTCCGCTGGCGCTTGCGCAGGGTCTCTGTCCTCCCCGGCCTTCACCAGCTCTGTTGCCACTAGGTGACGCTCTCGACCAGCACCTCTGGTGGCCTCCGGACACTCGCGGCCTCCGGACTGGGAGTCCGGACGAGGACGTAGCCGCCGCTGCTGTGAGTGAGGAGCAGAGGATGCTCCTTCCCGGAGCCCAGGCCTTAGGAAGGGCCCCACCGCTCCGCAGGGATGGGAGGCTCTTCCCACCCCTCCCTGCTGCTCCACGTCCAACTGCCCGACTCCCGGCCGAGGTGTCTCCATCACCTGCGGTGCCTCTCGGCCCTGGTTCTGTGTCCACGCAGGCCGGGGGATTCGCCCCTTCTTTCCAGGCCATTCTCCTAAACACGTCGCTTCGATCCATTGCCCTTCACTTTCCTGACAAGTACGTCCAAGCAGAGCAGGCAAAATCTCCTGTGCACCCAGTAGTGGAGGAGCTGGTCCCCATCCAGCTGCCCCCAGAGCAAAAGCTCCGGAGAGAACCGGGAATGCTCCCAAATCAGGGCCCAGCAGGGGCGTGTGAGCAGCAGCTGGGCCCTCCCTTTGCTCCCTTTCCTTTGCTTTTGTCCCACAACTTCCCGTTTTTGGCATAAGGTTGGGATGCTCTGCTCTGAGAACACGGCTGTGTACAGAGAGGGCCCTGGGAAAATTCCTTTGATTCCTAAAAAATCCAAGGGAATTTTTAGGCAACAGGGCTCCAAGGTTCCCCCCTCAGCCCTCCTTGCAGCCGTGATTGAAGAGAAGAGGAAGTGACGCCAAAAGCGGCACCTGAAACCCCCAATCCCCCTCGGGTGCCTTTTACACCCTTCTCAAGACCAAACAAGGCCTTTTAGGCCTGGCTTGACCTTGATTGGCTAAAAAAGCCCTTGTGGCCGCGATCCAGGGCCAGCAAGGGAATTCCCACACGTTCAGACACCAAAGGGTTTAATCCATCTTGCCCACAGGCGTGTGGTCAACACTGAGTTAGCTCCGTTTGGGCATCAAGCACGAACATAAATCCGTAGATCCTTGCATACGTATAGAAACAGACTGTGGCGGTGGCTCCGGGTAAGGGGAGCCGCAACCAGGAGGTGCAGCCACAGGTTTTACCTGTGTCCTGACTCGACGAGGACTTGCAGAGCAGATGCCGGAGGTTTCTGCCAAGCGGCCGCTGTTGAACACAGAGGTGGCCTCCAAGGAGCGGCCTCCACTCGCCGTGTTCCGCCTCGCAACTCCACCTTTGCAGCTTGGGCTGCAAAAGAGCCTTGAGTGGGAGATGGGCATCATCCCAAGGGGGTTTATGGAGCACTGTGCGTGGCCAGGGATGTGAAGCCTGGTCCCTCCAGTCGGAGACGAGGGGAGAGGCCAGCTCAAGGCTAGGAAGGCGGTAGGAATCAGGTGGATTTGTGTCTCTCCTACGCCTGGTCCTGGTTTTATTTCCAGCCCATCAAAAGCTGTGACTAGAGAAGGCTGGGGATGTGTGCAGGAGCGAAAGGTCCCACGGCCACTGCCTTGTGGAGCCGGGCGGAATGTGCCAGGAACCGTGGTCCAGAGGGGCCTGCGGCGCTGCCGCTTGGCCTTGCACACAGCGGGAGCCCCGCGAGAGCCGATGGGCACAGGGATGGGGACGGGGCCGCCCAGCAGCGCCCGCAGAGCTGGGTGCGCCGCTCACCTCAGCGCCTGCAGTCCCTGTGTGGTCAGGAGTGGTGGTTGGCACCAGCAGCAGCCTCGTCCCGCGTGGCACCGGCCTCGCCGCTGTCCTCACTGCTGTCCTCCTCACCGCCGGCCTCACCAACGCTGTCCTCACCGCCAGCCTCGCTGCCGTGTGTCCCTGGGCGCGCGGCGGCCAGGCTGCCTGTCTCCTCACGCCGACACTCCCTGGTTTTGACACCCACGGCTTTGAGGATTGTGTCCATCTGCTTCATGTAGTCCAGGTGGCCGTTGACCTGCAAGCAACACAGTGGGCAGGGGGTCAGGCCCTGTATCCCTATATCCATCCCTATCCATCCCAGGCGGGCAGCACACGCCCGCGGGGGTGACGCCCCGGCCCCCTGTGCCCCAGCCCTGCCAAGGCAGCTGCGGGGCGCCCTGGGAGGACAGGCAGCAAGGCCAGCCCTGGGACGCCCGTCTCCCTGCAGCAAGGCCAGCCCCGGGGCGCCTGTCTCCCTGCGCAATTCACCGCATTCCTTGGCCGGGCGGGCCGGGCTGCATGAGGGATGGGACCTCTCCAAACCTTGCAAGGGACAATAAAACCCTCCAGGTGACGTGATGGCTCGAGCGCTGGTGAGAACAAAGTGCAGGAGCAATGGCAGGATGAGCAGGATGAAAAAGGCACTTCTGTCACCATAGCAAATGCATGGATGTTTGCTACAAGGAAATGAACACAGCACACACGGGCGACTCCTCGTCTTTTATATCCAATTTTATGGCTGTTTTGACTCACTGGGAGGCCCGGAGCAACCGCCTGTGGCACTGACTGTGCTGCGGGAGCAGGGCGCAGAGAGCTCTGCAAAGGGCAGGAGTTGGCTGTGTTGTGCTGAAAGGAGCCATCGTCTCTGCTCTTCTGCAAAGGTTTCCAAGCTCAGACCCACCCAGAGGCGGCAGAAGGACCTTGAGCTCCCTTGCTCTGCACAGCTACAGCCTCTGGCTGCGGGCCCACAGAAACATCCCCCAAACTAACAGGCACTTTGCACACAAATAATGTCACCGTTCCCGTGCAGGCAGCCAAACCACTGCCTGTCTCCACTACCAACAAGGGCCCTCGCAGCTCCCTGGGTTAACAGGAGCAATTCCGGCTGGAGAGGCCCAGGGAGGAAGGAGCAGCAGGTGCTGGAAGGGACGGGAGGAGCTGCTGTGGGCCCGGGAAGTGGCTCCTCCTTGAGCCTCATGATATTTTCTGAGCACGATGGTCACTTTTATGGGCAATCCCATTTCAACCAAAGCCACTTGCTCGAGATGCAAAGATCTTTTCCAAGACCTTTTCCAACAGACCTGGAAACACTGGGTGGGAACACGTTGAGTGAGACAATTCTGAGCAGGTGAGGTGCAGAGAAACCCATCCCATCTCCTGCCTGGTCCTAGTGCAGGAGAACAGTGACCAACCACAGCCAGAACTACCAGAAATGGTTACTCTGAGCTGCCAAGGAGGTGTCTTCTCACCCCAGCTCCAAAAGGACTGGCCAAACCACCACGTCTGATTAAAAGAGGTCACCCACACAGCTGCTGAACCCCTTGGAGACACACATTGGTGGCAGAAGAACCTGTTGGCAGGAGTCTGCAGCCACAGCTGGTAGGTCACTTGGGTAGACACCACCTCCAGTTACCTAAGGGGATTTCTGGTGTCTCTGGGGTCAACCACCTGTTCCCAATAAATTGATGGGGTTAATATAACCCACCTCAGCAAGAGCTTTTGGGGGCACAGAGAGTTCAGTAGCTATGGAGGAGGGTGGTATCTTCTCAGCAAGAAAAACCCTCTCATAAGCAGAGATTTTGCTCTGGGAGATGTGTCAGGAGCAGCCCCTGCTCTTCCTGGCTGTGTTAGAGCAGCTCTGTTCTCAAGCACCAGGTCCTGCAATGCGTAGGAGGGAACCTCTGGGGAAGGTTACAGGTGGTGTCAACTGCTGATGCTGCGGTGGAGAAAGAGGTAATGAAATTGAAACTTTTCTGGTTACTCACATGGTGCAGCAAGTTACAATCAGCCTCACTGTGACTATTAGCAAGGCTTTTATGACTGTGTTTGAGGGGGAGGATGTTTCTTCTGAATTTTCTTACTGACAGGCAGATAAAAAACCATGTTCATCAAGAAAGACATGCAGTAAATGCCCTGGAGGTGAATTCCCATTTAGACTCAAGTCCCAGTAGGGGACTCTTGTGGTCCCACCACAAAGAGAGCTGAGTCCTTTGGGGTTGAGACACTTTTCCTCACAGATGAGGCTGCTCCCAGCTGTGTTCCTGCATTTGCCAGTTTGCAGCTCCTCCCTGTGCACCTGGACAATTTGCCCCAGCTCAAGCACCTCTACTTCTCACGTGCTGAGAACCGAAGCTTCATCTGAGAGATGAGGACGGGGAAAGAGCAGAGCAAGTGGTTCCAGTAACTACTCCTGTTGCAAAAGGCACTGGTGATGGTTTTAAGAAAGATCTAATGCCTTTTTTAAGCAATGCTACCAATAGGCAGCTGAGTCCTCCCGTCAATTCAGGAACTTCTTCTCAGAATAAGATTCAGTGTTCCCAGTCCAAAACATTCCACATAGACTAAAGATGATTCCAATTTTTCTTATGGAATTTAGGAAAAGTCCAAACCAGGCTCTTCTGGGAAGTCAATCTCTTGGGAGGCATTTAAATAACCCTTTCCTTGAGGCATCCCTCTCAAATGTGCATCAATGGATTGATCCCTACCAGCTTGTGCAGATGTTCAGGAGAAGCCTGGGCCTGTGCCAAGCACCTCCCATCCAGGTTGCAAAGGTACAAAAAGGCATGAAATCATTTAAATATAGAAAGCGCTGCAAGGAAAGAAGGGCCGGAAAAGGAGAAAAGAATAAGAGTAGAAGAAGGATCACTTACTACAGATGAGAGGTCCATGTTTATCATCCTCCTGTCGTCCAAGTGCACTGGCTGCAGCCCTGCGACGCTGAGCTGGACCGCAGAGGTTCTGTAGACGAAGCCCAGCAGCCAGTCCCCCCTGGAAGAAAACGAGAGTGAGGACGAATCCTGCTTCTAGACTGGGGAGCACAGGATGACTCAGGCCATAGGGAGAATACAAGGGCAGGGACACACGGTGCTGTCTGGACCAAGCGAGGCATCTAATTCAACGATAATGCTCCCCAGAGTGCTTCTGATTTACAGGTGCTCTTTAAATGTGAGGTTTCAATGACAAAATCAGCCAGAGCCTGATCCTACCCCAAAATCTACTGCCTTGAGTCACTGTGACAGCTTCAGGGCACACGAGGGACAGTGATGCGCTCTGGGGAAATGCAAAACCTGTTGGGTCTGTGCAGAGTGGCAGCCCAGACCCCGGGCACTCTGCAGGTTTAGTGTGGGCACGACTGTGTGGTGGCACGGAGGGAACGGCAGCTCCCAGAATGATGCTCCCCACTGCTGGCATCTGGATGACACCCCCGGGACACATCCATGCCACAACAGCCACTTCGGTTGTCACCTTGACACTCACAGGTGGGTTCCCTGAGGAGCTGTGGGAGGCCGACTCCTTCGATGGCGCAGAAGCTTCCCCTAGGGCTTTGCAGCCTGCTGGGCAATGGAATGGAACAGCTCTGGGGCCACCTTTCACTCTCTGGGTTCCTTCAGAGCTCAGAGGTGAGGGGGATAAGCTACAGGGGACCAGCACTCAACACACTGGGCCCAAATCTGTTTCGGTGCAATTCAGCTCCATGCAGACCCAGATACAGTTACTGCCAAATGGACAGGATGAGGCCAAAATCCATGTGAACCTGACAGCAGTGCAACCAGTCTCAGGTGGGGAATGTTGCATGGGGTCTGTGGAATCCCTCTCTGGCATCTAACAGTCTCAGAAATTGTCCCTATTTCTCAGCTTCCTCCCTCAGCTGCCCCTTGTGCTAAATGAGCATCCCTCCGTTGCAGCCTCTTTGAGCAGGGGGAAGAACCAGCGCAGCAGAGTAATTTTTTTCCTCACCTGGTTCTTATTTGTGAGCCCCAAGCTGCAGTTTCTGTATTGCTGCACATGGAGCTTTTGAGACAGGGGCTTGCCAAAAGCAAAGAGCCTAATCACATTATTGGACATGCACAGGTGCAAATGGGCATTTTATTCCAGCAGCAAACCCTGGCCCTGAAACTACAGCAAGAGCACTTATTTTTTTGCTAGAGGGGATGAATATACTGAGCTTTTTGCAGAGAAACAGCCTTTTGCAAAGCTAAAGGAGGAGCAACATCTGCCAAGGCAACTGCAGTTATGGGTGACAACTGCCATTGTTCAGGACTTCTTGGAGGAAAGGAGAAGCTCTCTTGGGTCCCCACTAACGAATCTACAGGAGGCAGCAGTTGCCTTGTTCTTATGTCACATGAAGAGACGCAGTCACTGGTGTGCACATCCAGCATACACAAAACCTCCTGGGAGCCAAACAGACAAAAGCAGCATTTTTCAGCTTAGCCAACAAATGGGCTTAATAACTGGTTCTTTTAATCTTGAGTGCTTTCAATTCCTTTATTTAGCTATTCTTTGTAAATTAATATACTACATGAGCTGCACAGTGATACAGTACTTTCTCAAGGGGGCATATACATGGTCTATGTATGGAGAGCACCACCAGCATTTTCAGCTGCCCTTGGCCTGAGGACTCGTGGCTTTGGGAGCTGTTTATTCACAGTTTCATAGTCTCCCCTCCTCTTGCCTGGCTATTTCTCAGCTTATTTTTCCATGCTCTCAGTCTCCCTCACTACATCCCCTTTTTTTAATTGCTCTCTCCTAATGGTGCTGGGAAGTAACGTCCTTGTCACATTTCTCTTCCAATACACCATCCTTGGATTTTATATTGTCCCTTGAACTCTTAACAGCTTTTAGAAGTTGCTTCCACTGCTTCTAGCCTCCAAATTGCCCTCTTCTCGCCTCCAGCTCTACAAGGCAGCTCTCTGCAGTTTCAAAAGGCTCCCTTTGCTTTGTCTTCTTCCACCCCCCCTAGTTTAGTGTAGCCACTCTAGTTGCACCTCCTGCAAGTAAAAGGACTCGTGCACCCAGACGAACCAACCAAACTTTAAATTGTCGGGGTACTTTAGGGCTGCTTCTGTGTGAACATACTGAGAGCCTCAGGCTTCCAATTTAATCTGCATTGCAAACAATCGAGCAGCCTTGAACTGTCTCCTGAAGACTGTCATCTCCAATTAATCTGAGGGAGAGACCTCCAGAGGGAAGAGACTCTGACACTGTGCTCCTGGCTCAACACGCTCATCAGCTGAACAAACATTCCCTCACGGAAGATTTAAAGGGAAAAGGAGTACAGAACTGTTTCAAAGTGACCCCGGGACAATGCAGGAGGGCATGGAGCATGTACAGACCTGCAGTAACCATTTATGATCCTGCCGGACACCACCTTTGTGATGGCTTTCCAGTGCTTGGCGTCTCCCTCCACCGGAGCTCCCAGCAAGACCACATCTTCGATGATGCCTTGTGAATCTGGTAAGGTGGAAAGCAGGTTAGCTCAGCAGTGGAGACAGAGTACTAAACACGTTTGTACATGCAGGAGGGCTATATATAGATTTGCGCTACAGAAAAATCATCATTTCTGTGGTTTAAACTCTCAAGATAGAAATCAAGGAAAGGAGGATAATGAGAGAGTTCCAGCGTGACTGCTCAGCTGCTGAGGCGCCTGTTGATGCAGCAGTTAGGGGAGATGAGAGCCCTGCACTGCGGCCGGGGCTGCCTGGGCACGTCCTGCCAGACCCATCCCCTCTCCCCGCGGCAGCCCCGTGTGCAAGGCTGGTGTCTGCAGGCTGTGCAATAACACAGTGGGGGTTACAGTGAAGTGACCACGTGCCACATCAAATGAGGAAGGATGAGGTGCTCCTGGCTGCACTCTTTAAATTCGGATGATTTGGCTTCCTTTTCCTTGTAGCAGTAAAGGCCTCGCATCAGCGGCTGCTCCCTGTGCACAGTGTAAAGCCTGGCTCCTGCCAGCGCTCCAAAACGCTCTCGTGGCACTAATTGTAAAGCAGATTTTGCGCCAATCAAGGGTACAGCAAAGAGCAATTCCATTTTGTTAGTGTAATCTGTGAGCAATAAAGCTTCCATAGTCTTGTGCAATGAAAAAGCTAAACCTTGGGCCTTGCAAACAGGAGCTCCAACCAATGAACGTACTAAATTCCCTGGCTGCAGTGTGAGCTAACTGAATAAACAACCAAGAATTCACCAGCATTCCCAGCATTTGGGCAAGGTGTTGGAAGCTTCCATCTCTCCAGTGCTTTTTGCACATCTGACTTCTTGCTCAGGACAAAAAATGTTCAACCTTGGCTGTCAAATACTGACTTTATTTGAATACTGAGGGAGCAGGGAGGAAACCTGAGAACATCCTGGTAACTTGGCTAGTTACTGGAACTCTATGCGACTATTCCAGCTTGCAAAGCTTTTATGCCAGTGAAAAATAATAAAGCCCATAAAGCAGCCATAGGAATTAAAAGTTTTCATTAATTACGCTTATTTACTTCAGAGCAAGGGAATCTTGATGAACAAATGAGAGCAATGATCTTCCTACCCAGTAACTCGTTTCCAGCAGGGTTGTCTCTGCCTGTTCTTATATAATGTTCTTTTCTGGAATCCTACTAAGCTCTGGCTTCAGAAGTTGTTTGTGCTTAAGTATCCTAAGGGTTATTTAATTGTTTTGAGGAACGGTATTTACTTTTGATGGGCTTTAAGCTTCTGTTTTTGCTGGCTAATCTGTGATTAGTTACTTGTCTGCAGAAATGCCCCAGCTATCTGGGTACCAGCGGGCTGTGTGACTAGACCCTGCACTGCTTTAGTGCGATGCACCCGAGCCCAAACACCAGGCAGTGTCAGATGTCCCAGGTCCCAGCTCTGCATTGCTGCGGCTCCTGCCGGAATGTGCCTGTGAAGAGGCCTTGGGAATGTGCTCTGAACATACATGGGAGGAACTCCTTGGCAATGTGCTCTGAACACGCTGCTTTCCATCTCACCGGCAGCTCCGCTTGCCTAATTCCATTAGAGAACTGAAAAATCAGCGTACAGGGGGAGTTGCTGTGATACATCATTACGATGCTTACGTTAGAGTAGCAGCCAACCTTAAAGACCCCTGATGATTTCCTTTCATGTGTTACTTAGCTGTGGTCCCACATTATTCCAGAGAGAGGCTGCAGGCCGCTAAATGAAAGTCTGAAAACATCTTGCCCCTGGTTACATTCTCAAGGCACAGAGAGAGTGAATCTAGGGCCAGACTGGGATCTGGCTCCAGCATCGCTCTATTAGGATCATTCTGAATTTGATGGAATTTATCCTGAGAACAAGATTTCTGTGTTTCACTGGGGACTTTCATCTTAAACAAGAGGCAAAACTGGTGCTGTCAGGACAGCAAATACTGACCTTCTCCCTCCTCACTTGACTTCATTCCCACTTTCCCAGGCTTGAGGGGAAACAGTTACCTTTAGAAAAAACTCTCTATTTATTAACCACGTTCTGCGAGTTATGCGTAGCCAATGAGTTAAACTGGCTACGTAGCGGGGAAGGCAGCTGCTCGCACATGCTACTGACTCAACTCCAAGATGCAGTTTGCATCAACTAATCATAACGTTTTTATTCTATTTCTAAATTAAAAATAGAATCTATTAATAAACAGAACCACAACGGGTAATAAATAGACAGATGGTTTTATATTTGACTTTGGGGAGAAATTACCATGAAAATAGCAGATGACAGTGGTATTTCAGTGACTTAAATGGCAGGGAGGACTCATGGCATCAGATGCAATAGCTGCAGAGAGCTTCCCATAAAGGCAACACTGCCTCTACTGGTTCAGAGGCACGTGGGCAGCTCACGCACCGACCCAGTGATCAAATGCCCAAAAATGTCAAGAGGGCAGAGGGCTCCTACCAGCAGTAAAGAAAATAAAAGAAAAAAAGCTTAGGAGTTGGACATTACCTTTTTCTTGAGCCATCTCTTGCAGGCAGAAGTAAATGACTCTTGCACCCAGACTGAAGCCAATCAGTGTGACGGGTCGCTTGCCCTAAGGAAGAAGAAGAGAAGGGAAAGGTCATCATGGATTCCTGGAGACCTGAAAAAGCCACCTTGGCCGCAGGATCCCCCAAACCCTCCTCTGTGAGGCATTCAAGCTCCTGCATCATGTTTAAATTCTATTCTGGTGATTTCCGAGGGATTCTGTATCCTTAGAGGCCTACACAGTTGAGCGTTCAGAACCCAGAATATCTGAGTATTTTGTATTTATTGACAGTCAGGAAATTAATCTGAAAAATTCAATAACTGCAAATTACCACAAATCAAGTGTTTCAAGCAGAAGCAAAACAAACACTGTCACTGTTTTACAATTTCTGAGTGACAAACTAATTCAAGGAACAAAACTGGCTGGAAAAAAAAAAAGCCATAGTACAAAAATACCAAGCACTTCACAGGCTTAAGCCTGAATGGCAGCAGTGCTGTGTGGCTGCTGGAGAAATGATGCAAGGTAAGGCTGTATTTTGAATAGCCCCCCCCCCCCCTTTTTTTTTTTAAATGAGATCAAGAGAGATTTCAGAAACATTTGTTTTATGAATGGGACGCAGGTGTGCGACAGGCTCCCCAGCACCGTGCTGCCTCATTTTACACTGCAGCACACTGGAATATGGGGTTGCAGAGTAACTAACGCTTAAAAGGCGGCAATGAACGGCCCAAAGCAAAACAAAGGGCTCATTCAAAGGCAAGTTTATTGCCTTCCCCGAGACGGTGATTTTATGAGAAATAAAGTTTTGTTCCTGTTCTGCTGTTTCACACTGTTGTTTATGCCACTCTGCTCTGGTTTTCACAGGTTGCTCTACAACAGATGCTGCAGCAGCCGGCAGAAAGTCTGATCCACAAGCAGGGCGCCAGGACAAGCCAGCCAGCAGCGGCGGGCCCCGTGGAGCAGAGGTGATTTCTGGACACTTTCCTTCTTGCTTTTAAACACTTTTAAACACTGTGTTCTCTTTGTCTGCTACCTCTCCCTTCTGTTCTTGCATCTCCACGAGGTGAATTCTTGTCTTGTGAAACCACGAAGCCCATTTTCATTTATGACCTGGCTATCTCCTTCACAAAAAAAAGTTGGAGGCGGGGTGGAAAGGAACAAAGCTTTGCCGGAATTACCAGATTAACTTGGAACTTCCTATCTTTTTTCTATGAAATAGATAACAACTGTTGATGTTCACGTAGTGATTTTTCATTTTTCATCTTATTCCTTGTCTTCTCCCTGGGCCTGTGCCACTTGCTACTTAACACACGCGACTATAAGACTTCTCCCGCCTGCACCAATATTTCCAAATATTTATTATTGCTAGTGTCAATTCTGGGGAACTACCTGCTGTCGGCCGAGCAGCAGGTGTGCCAGGTGCTTGCCCACCTCAGCAGACCGATGCAGACAGACTCCCCACGGGTTGTCAATGACGCTGGCAACCGTTAGGAGCGACGCTGGCCAGGCCAGGGCTGACACAATCCCTGCGGGGCAGGAGCAGACAGAGCGACACGGTCACCAGCTGGGCCTGCTCCCAGGAAACGTCAGGAGCAAGACACTGTACTGAAGCTGAAAACTCAACATAGGATTTTGCTATTTTCACTCCTTTCCCAAGAGCTGACCTGAGGAATGTTTTGCTGGACTGAAGACAAGAAAGAATCCGATGATCTGATACAGAGGCAAATAGACACTATGCATCAATGCGGGTTGCACGTTGAAGGGTTTGTGTAAAGCACTGAGGCACAATATAACACTGGAGAGAAATAGAGCCAGACACTCTTTGAACAAAGGTGTTTCCGGATGGGATTTTAAAAGTACAAGTCAATGACACAGAGAAAGAGCAACCCAGGAAAGCAACTTTGAATTACAGGCGTGGCAAGGAGACTGTTATGGGCGCCAGCGCTGCTCAGGGCAACGGTTTCTCAGAAATCTTCTGTTTAGGAAAACGCCTTTAAACAAACAATAACAAGAAGGGACACGAGGCAGAGCTGATCAGATATAGGTGCTGACCTGACAAGACGGTGAATTTCAGGGCTTCTTGGGCCATCATGTTGACAACCCCGTTCAGCAGGGAATCGAGGGCATTGCCCAGCTCCATGAGGTACCTGGACTCCCAGGCCAGGCAGTACTGCTCCCTGGACTGCATCATGCTGCTCCACGGCGCCGTGAAGCTCCCTAGGAAACGTTGCCAACACGGATACACCGTCACCAACAGTGCAGCAGCGGCTGAATCCTGGCAAGCAGACACCACCAGAGAGGCAGCAAAGACCCTGTGGGACACCTAAATGCACTGACAGACTTCAGAATTATATTTAAAAAGACTGTTAGATTTAGACTAAGTATTTCCATTCTTTTGCATTCAACTTTGGCTTTGCTCTGCTGCTTTCACTGCCCTGGCAAAGGTTTGTGCATGTGCAGAATAGGAACTCAGAAATCACAGGGCAGCAAATTCCCTAGAAGTCCCCTCTGCATTCCCTCAGGTAAGCATGAATGCAGCAGCCGTGGCTGGAACGAGGAAAGTGGAGATCACAGTTTCAGTATTGCTGTATTAAAATTATAGCAGCTTGCTAGTTATGGAAGAAGAATGTGTGTCATCCGTAACTCCCTTTTAAGGACAAAGAGAGGCGGACAGAGTAAAAAGGCTTCTGGAGGGACCCCCTTGTCTTGGTCACTGTCCCTGGGAACCACAGCGACCACAGCTTTCCTCCAGAACTGTCTCCATGGACCACATCCATTTCAGACTATTTCTGCTCAGCGCAGGTGGAGGGACCACAGCGGGAGGAAGCTGGTTCAGCTACTTCTCAGTTCTGTTCCTAGAAAGTCCCAATCTGTGCTCAACTACCGCTTCTTACACAAGGGCTTAGCCCAAGTGGATAGGGTATATTCTTTCCCACTCATTACCAAATACTAGTACCAAATACAGTTGTCTTACTGGGGAAACCCAAATTTAGCTCCTGGAAGGCTGTTAATGATGCATCTCCTTGAGAAGGCCTGGGATGCTGCTGCTGAAGCAGGTCCACATGGTGGCCCACTGATATTTATAATTTCCACTCACCCAACAACTGTGACATGATCAGACTGCTTATATATAAGGACTTATTACCACTACTGTCATTCTGTCCATCATAGACATTGCTCTCCGGGCACCTTTCTCAGTTCCCTGTGTTGTTCTTACCATATCTGCCGGTGCAGAGCCAGCCAGTAATTGCTATGGTGATGTGAAGCTGCCTCCCTTCAGTAAGCGGGAGAAACTCAAACTCCTCGATGGCTCCCACGCGTTTCTTCATCTTGTACCCTACACACAGCGGGGCAGGAACACGAGCTTCAGAAAGGGCCCAGCAACAGGAGACTCTGCAGAAGGTCCTGTGAAGGCAAACGTCACCCCATGCCTCCAGAGTTGCAAAATGTAATCACTCTCTTACCAGTTAGGCCAGCTCCAGCCGCTCCAAAGAGGGAAGCCATGACTGCAATTCCAGCAGTTGATCCTAAAGCAGCAGCCCCAGCACTTCCAATGACAGCAGCAGCTCCAGCAGCAACCAGGGGGGCAGCAAGACCCCCTGTCAATCCTGAAAAATACAACCCATGAGATCTCCAATCTATGATCGCTCACAAACACCCAGGCAGTTCTTCTTCCCTGCTGGCTGCAGCCCTGTTGATGTTACCAGATGAGACCAGACAATGCTCTTGCTTCGCATCGCCAGTAAAGGGACTTTCTGAGACCCTTCCCAAGACTTGAAACTCTACACAGATTCTTGTGTAGAGATTCTTGGATTGACTTAAGAATGAAGAATAATTTAAAAGTCCAGGAAAGAATCTGTGGCAGGCTAGGGTGAGCTATGCCCTCTTTGCTTGGAATCACCAAGCTAGTTGCACACTATTCTGAATTTGGAATCAAAGATGACAGTTCGACCCTCTTCTAGCACAAGAAAAAGGACAAAAAAGTACTTTGTAGGGGTCTCAGCTTGGTATCTGCCCCTGCTGAGAACTTGGGTCTTGTGATTTTAATTCAGGGAACGTACAAAACAGTACAGAATTTACACCAGAATAACTTTTCCAGGTAATCCTTTTAGTTTTACTTTGTGACTAAGAATGCTTTTCTTAGATTTGGTTTGTACGGGTTTTGTTTTCCTTTTTCTTTTTTTTTTTTTCCTCCTATCTGAAGCAACGTATTATCACTTTAAAATTACAGCTATTGCTAAGAATGGCTTCCGCTGCTGAAGGTGTCAATGGCCAGGATGCAAACGCCTGCCGTGCCCCTGGTGCTCCACATGCAGCCCCAGCGAGTACCCCAAGCTCCTGGGGCAGCCTCACCGATCACTGTTCCACCTCCAACGGTGGCCAGGCCAATAAGCAGGTACCTCTTCAGTTTCTTCCTTCTTTCCTTCTTTGTTCGTGACACTTCTGCAGTTCTGCGGGGAGGATAAGAAGCACAAAAGCTGAGGAAAAAGCTTGAAGAGTAAGAAAGCAGCATCAGAACCTGCTTATATTCTCCTTCGTATAATTTCCCTACCTGGAACAGTAAAAACTTCCATGCAGGTGTGGACTGTGACAACACGCTCAGACTTACGAGCATTGAAATAAAACCACAGGTTTAAAGCGAAACAATTTAATTAATTACAAAAGTCAACAGATGTTACTTACTTGGAAACCCCTTCCTAATAAGGCTGAAGCTTGTAAAAGAAAAAAAAGAGTGAAACAAAAAATCAAAATCATTTTAACATGTATATACTGCCTGAGAGCATATGCTTTAAATAAAATGTCTCACTGTTTTTAGAAGGGTAAGAAAAAAAAAAGATTTTTAACACTTAAGCTGGCACTGCAGAAGGAAGCCAACCTTTCCCCAGGAATGGACAAACTACAGGGCACCCTAATGTGTGCCACAGCTGCAGCCGGTGCCAAGGGTCGCCTTTGTGTCGTTTGTCCCCCAGGAATCTTGGTACCTCTCACAAAATGATTCGGCTGCCTCTTCTTTGGAGGACGCTTCTTGTTCTCTGCTAACACTTACGTGCTCTCGTGCCGTGGTCTGCTTGCCCCCACAGCAGCAGAAACTCACGCAGCACAAGGCTATTCCCCCCCACAGAGGCTCCTGTGCCACCGTCCTTGTCATGACTCCTTGTCTTCGTCACAAGAGTTTTTACGGCCCAGCACTGAATTCCATTTTCACAAACCCCAGCAAAACAGCCCTCCTGATCACCAACCCTTGCTCCTGTATTCTTCACAGCAGCCTCCTTAGAAATCAATGATCTTGGAGATTATTTTGACTTTCTCTTTTACAGTAAGCTATAAAGCAGCAAGCTTTATTTAACAATAAAGCCATTAATGGGAGATACTTGTCACATGCTGCTCAAGAGCCACACACCTGAACTCTGCTGCCTCAGACAGCGTGATTAAAGCATTTATTAGCACTCAGGTTAATCTCAGAACCCGTTTGCTCAGTTTATAGATAAAATTATTAAATGGTCCCCTGAAAGTCTACTACAGACATGTTTACTGCCTGACATTCTGCTAAATCCTCACAAGTTTCCTGTCTAACAAGTATAAAAATATTTTCTGTAGATACCACATTTCTGGATGAAGTTAAACAAGAAGAAATAAGCCATAAATAAGTAGTGTCGTGGAGGGAATGATCAGAAGCCTGGCCCTGGGCAGAAGTACTTGATGCTGAACTCTCAAGCACTGCTAGTGGTTTTTCATCCCATGATCAACCCAAATGATCTTACTCTGACTCTTCCTCTTTCTGGTCTTTCAGGCTCTCAAGAAGAGACTCCTCCAGGGCTTCCAGCTCCTCCAAGGGGATTCGCAGCAACCACATGATATGGCAGATCAGCACCCTTGCTCGAGCATCATAGTATCCTTAAAGAGAAGGAAACCCTGGGAATCAGCAGGTCATCGTGGCATGGGATTAAAAGGCCCAGGTGCACTCAGCTGGGCTGCAGGACCAGTTACATGCAACACAGCTTCTTCCCTCCGGTCCTCTCAGTCTTCCATGTATTTGAAAATCACTACTGTTATTTACAAATGAGGAGAGCTAGCTGGAAAACCCTATTCCTCAAACCTCATACATCAACAGAGTCATGATAGCAGGTAATTGTATCCTATAGGGCACACCATCAACACAAGATTTGATATTTTATGCATGTATCCCTCACTACCACCTGCTGCTTGCTGATGGTAGACTTCCCTGCAGGGTTTTCAGGGCACACTGGAGTGAAAATTGCAATTGCTTTTCCAAGGCTGGGTGAACATATGGACTACACACATCTACAACGTGCGTGCCTGATATCTGCTGCAAACGTTACTTATGGCAGCTGGCAATAAGTTTATGTATTTATTGCCATCATTATGCAGATATCTAAGGACTTCGTTAGTCTTTAATGAGGCCATTTTTAAAATTTGTGCTTACTTAGAAAATAGGGTATTATCTTTACCTCGTCCCTGAAATGTGCCACGTCTTGCATGCCCAAGCAGGCATTTTAACAAGCAGCTCTCTTGCTTCCTACCTGCTAATACACAAGGTAGCTTTTTACTTAGTCAGCAGGGCACTAAATCGGCAACACTTGTAAATAATATTTTTGTTTTTAAGTCTAGCTTAATGTAATAAGCACTTTTGCAATAACAGACTTAAATTTTCCATCAAAAATAAACGCAAATCAAAAAAAGACACTTTGCTCTCATATGAAACCGGATAATTAGCAAACAGGGAGTTCTTTCCTGTGCAAACATGTTAAAACATGGAGATTTAAAAATTGCAAGTAGTGACATAAAAGAGGCTTCTTTTAGAAAGGAATGTTTTGCCCAGTGGACAGTCTCCATTTAAGGGACTTTATGAGACTCATCCATGTTTTGGAGTGCAATCCAGAAATCTCTTTTATGGGTAATATAGTACATGAAAATCACATTTATTCAAAACAGGCTTCAGGAGATACTTGAAAATTTATTCCATGAATACTTTTTTTCTTTTTAGGCAACAAACAATTTGCAGATTTTTTTCTCGATGTAATTTTCCAAACAGCTTCATGGCCTACATAAAAGAATAAATCACCTCCACCTCTCTAAGCAAAGGCAAACAACAACTGCAGGGTAAGTATTTAACTTCAGACTATTTCTACCTTCACTTGCACTTACATGCCAGTACAAGGTATTTCATATTTTAGGAACTTCACAGTAGTTCACTTTTTAAATGATCAATTGTCGTTAACCATTTCAATTATTAATGGCTGCCTTTCCTGTAGTTAAATAAGGGACACAGTGTGCTGCATTTGCTGTGAAAGAAACCGAGATAAAATAGGATGGTCCTTTGAGCTGTTCAAGCAGAAATTGTTCTTACAGAGAACAAATGCTGGGCAAACTTACCATCTTTCAGACAGAAGGACAAGAGATCCTAAAAAGGAAAAAAAAAAAAAAAGGTAAATGCTCCTGATGCTCCTAAGATGAGAAGTGCCCGTGCGCACACTATGTGCACAGTAACTTACATTGTCACTGCTCTGTTCTCTTCTTTTATTGGCACCTAATAAATTGCAAGGTCTTTCTGTAACTGCAACATGCAGCACTGCCTTGGTGTAGCTGCTTCTCTCTCCTACTCCTCCTCTCTCCTACTCAAGTAAAGAGCAGCTGGCTTTTATATGGAATCCTTCAGCCTTTTGGGAACACACAAAAAAAAAATGCAGCTAAGGAGTTAGGATTCTGCCAAAGAGCTTATGACTATTAGTCCCATAGCTCCTAAGCAAAATTTGTATCAGAGAAATGTTAATCTTTTTCTTCTTGCATGAGAACTACAGAAATACCTGGGGCCTCACTGTTCCATAGCTGGGTATCTGCTCCTGCCTGGCCTGGCTGCAGCTTGGTGGCAGAGAGGCTGGCGTGGAGGTCAACCAAAGACCCTAAGATACAGACTACAGTGCCGTTTGTGAGCCTGTAAGTCATTCCCACCACGGGCCCCCTGCGCAGGGCTGTGCTGTGCACAGGCCTCCCAGGGGCATCGAGTTCTCGCCGTGCGTCGCAGCAGGAGCTGCGTGTCTCGACTCGCATCCTGCGCTCACATGCTTGGTGTGCTCCATGGCATACAACGTCAAACACTTTTAACAATCTGGCTAAACATTGACATGACCATATTTCCCAAACAGAGGGACAGATAGAGCATATCAGGTGATAAATCAGAGCTACTATTTGATTGCATCTGTGCCAATGAATGTACTCAATTGCTTCTAATCGGTTTAGGCTTTGCACTTTACTGCTCTGCACAGTCACCTGGAATATAACCCATATCGATTAGATCCATTCACTTGTCTCTCTGTCTCTCTGCAGCATTTATTTTTCAATCTTATTTTGAAGACTGGTGATTCCAATTTCCCGGTAAGCTCTGTGCACAAGATTACCTACCATCCTCTAGCTGTGCCATCACACACACACAACCAGGCCTGAACAAGAAAGGGAAGCTACTCAGACTCTCTGCATTTTTTGATGAATTGCTAACAGTTCAAAACCCACTTCCTCAATAACACAGAGCTTTAATCCACATTGCAGGGCTGCTGTCTGGGGGGAAAAAAAAAAAAAGGGGAAATGGTCATCCTAAGTATGTCCAGAGCAAGGAGTCTGATTCATACTGAGAATCTTAAACATTTTCTCACCAAGAAACAGCAGTGGGCAAAGTCAACCTCTTCCCCTCTTTGTGCTGTCACTAAATGCAAACAGAAATTGCCTTCCCACATGTATGCCAAGCAGTGCTGTCTCTTATGGCACCTGCAGCCTATTTGCTCCGACTACTGTCCTTAAGGGATGCACCTAACTGGCATTTGTCTTCATTAGTCATCCAAAATGCATGCAAATAAAGATAAAAATCCACAAGCCTGCCATGTTCATGAAATCAAGATTGAGCCCAACACTCCTGACCTCAAGCCTCATCCCTTCAGCACCTTTGAGAGACAGAGTAGTCAAAAATGCAGCTCCCAGCGCCCACAGGACCCTGCCCCTGAATGCAGAGCAATCCATGCGTGTGCTTGCAATGCCCGGTTAAACAAACAGAGCCTGGGAGGCAGGAGCAGCTGAAGGCAAAGGAGCAAGAGTACCATAAAACAGTATACAACGAGTCAACAAAGCGGCAGCCCTTGGCTTGTTTATTTTCAGGTAACAAGGAAAGAGCTTATCTTGGCTTGATACACTGAGGTTTCCCACCCATCAGTATGTTTTCCCAGTAAAGTCTTGCAAGCTTCTCATGCCTCACTTTATAATCTCTCTTAACGATATTTTTCTCCTTTGACAAAATCAATTGACTTGCCTATAAAGATCACTGACTGGGGCCCAGATGTTGAGACATTAGCCTGATAATCAGTCCTGACCTTTGATTTCAAATAATGACAAAAATGTTATCTAAGGCTTCTGTATCCTACTTGCTTCAGGCTGATGAATGCCTCCGTCCTCTGATTCAAACAGATCCTGCTGATCCAGAGACTCAATTGTAACAGCATATAGAGCCCTTATGCAGTGTAAGCCCAGAGCAAGCAAAAGTCAAATTTCACCAAAACTTTGTCCTTGATGAACTCAGCGGTGATGCAGGGAAACTCCTCTTACTCTAGAGAAACCATCCTGAAGCAGAGAGAACTAAGGAAATAGCAGGTAGCCACCATCCACACGTGGAAGGAGCTGGGAGGGAATTCATTCTATTGGAGCAATCACCACCTAAACAGCTACTCTTATTCTAAAAAGTTCATCCTAACTAGCTGATGAAGTCCAGGGTTCTCCATCACTGTCTGCATCCTGTTAGGGATTTTGAGCACTGTGACTTACAGACATTTGGGACAGATCCTCTCAGGTCTTTTATGACCTGGCTAGAAGAAAGGAAAGGCCATTTAGATTATGGGAGTTGGTTATGGTGACCCAGAAAGTTCACTCTCACCCTATCTTTACTTAGATGGCCTTACACTAGCATTTGTTGTTCTGTCGGGTCATTATTAAAGCTGACTCTCATAACTATTACTCAATATTGGAGCACTGACAGCACGTAGGATGCCTGGCTATTTCCTCGTGTGTGCAGTGTACAGTGGAGGTGACTTGGTGACACTGGTCACGTTTCACCTGACACTAGTGGCTCTGTGTTCTGCTCTTTGCCCTGCGTGGCATGACATGAGAAAACACGAGGAGATTATTTTCCACGCTGAGACTGCAGCAAAGGTGAGTGCCTTCAGAACGCTTTCCTTCACTTGTCTGGACATCATTTTTTACATTAGAATATTTTATAGTAGTCCCAGTATCACTAATGTTTCTATAATAGTTTTCTCCATGAATGAAAATAACGTTCCAATAACTTGTATTTCCTTCTGGCCAAAGCTGACTCTGGGAAATGTGCTATTTGGATTACCCTGTATGTTCCAGTAGACCAGTTCATTTTTCTTTACTAATAATCTTTCTGCCTCGTTCTCAAGTATATAAAGTGCTTTATATCATTGGGGAATGACCCTTAGGACGTCACGCTCAGTCTAAAAACTCTTTCTTAACATGCTGTAGCTGTGTAAAAGCTAGAAGATCTAGCAGCCTAAACCAGTCCTCCCAATGTAAATGCTCCTACATAACACCTCTAATTCAGGGTGGGGTAATGAAACAAATGACAGTCAGGCCTCTCGTGTTCAGTGTTTCACCCAAATCTGTAGAACACACACGAGACAACAGTGCAGTCACATGGTCAAGGAAAAAGACCGATAATTCTCTGTTCTACAGAGCAAAAGGCATCAAAGACAGTAAACGTTAATTCAGGTGACTTGAACTGTCTTGTGTTCATCACTCCCATGAGCTGTTAACTGATAGAGACAGCTAGTCACTCATACAGCTACACAAAGGTATATTCTTGTCAGAAACCTGGATTTCATTTCCCTGACTCTACACACACTACATTACTTGCAAACAGACAAACATGACAACTCCTTTTTGTTAAAGCAAGTAGCCCGAGGGGAACACAAGAACTTACTTGGGTAATGACAAAGGGACTATCTTTCAGTACAGGGTCCTTAAGCAAAATCTGGGCGAAAGTCTCTGTGCCCTCTCCTCCTAAGCCAGTGGCAAATGCAGTCATGGCAGGCAGAACAGCATCAGGCAGGTCCAGCCACTTCACCAAGCCCTCAATGAACTCCGTCTTGAAGGAGCTGTAAGGTAAGACAAGCTATGAGGACAAAAATGCCTCATCTTCTTTAGTCATATTCATTTACGAGTCTCGAGATTAAAACTCTGATTCAAAATTACTCAGGTTGTGTCTTTAACCTTGGTCTTCCCTGATTTACATTTAGGAAAAAAAAAAATAATGACAGCAAAGAAGGATATTTCTTCTGTGCCCCAGCTTGCCTGGCAGTACTCTGGTGTACTATAGTGCTTGAGTCTGTCGCATGGGAATTGCGTTGGGTTAATACAGACATACAGCTTTTGGTCCCATAACTGGATATTTTTGCAACTCAAGTGGTCCCTGCTTTTCTCTATTGATCTATCACTTTGCACACAAAATCAAAGCAGTGCAAGTCAGCAGCAGGGGAGTTTGCTACCAGGCTTACAGGCAAGCAATGTGAATGGGGTCAGACCTTTCTTCAATACATGCTTCTAAGTCTGCAGGATTGTGGGATGCAATTTGTGCTGAAGTATAAAAGTTCCAGAGGTTCAAGAAACAGTCAGTACAATTAAGAAAACAGCTGAGAAAACAGCTAATGTCAGTGTGTCCTTTGCATTTCAGGAGATCTTTTAAATACAACACTGACAGGGAGCCAGTGGGAAAACATCAACACCAGCAATTAATCTGCAGAATGTCGGGGCCTTTTAGACTTTCTGTTTTATGTCACCTTCCTGAACTTGCTAATTGATTTTCATGAAAGGGCTCAACACCAGAAAGATCTTCAGCCCTTGTAACTTTGGAAGGCCCCCAACCAGCTGGCCCAGGACCAAGTACCAGTGAGCAAAGCTGCATGTTGCCATATAATAATGTAGAAACTTCCCTCACAACACTTGGAGCAGATGCTTTGGGCTGGAGCAACATGGGATTAACACCCTTCTTTTTTAACCCAACTTATTGCACTGACAACACAGACTATGACACCAGGTCAGTCTGAGCTGCTACCAAAAAAACGCCTACTTTGCTCACTGCCTTGCTATTAAATGTAATATTTGATACCTTTGCTCTTTTTCAGGAAACAGCCCCGCTAGGGATATGCCGCAGAGCGCTGCGTAAGCGAATCTCCCTGGCTCCTCCAGCTGCTGGCCCAGGAGCTCACACGAGCCCTTGTCGCTTGCCTGCTCTGCCACGCCGTGCTCTTTCCAAGCCCAACTTTTCCACTTCTCTTCTGCAGCCATTTTAACCTGCAAATTCAAAGAGGAAAAAGAAAACAGATGGAAACGAGGAAGCAAGGGGACAAAATGCTTTCGTTTTTTCAGCTGCTGCCTTTGCATTAGGTGAGGTCTGTCGAGGCTCAGGCTCCTCCAGCAATGTGATGCTGTGATCAGAACATACATCAGGAGGCTTTGGCCACCTGCACTGATTCTCAAATTTGTGATTCAAACAAGCAGGTAATGCTTTACACGGCAAAATCAGACATCTCCTTCAGGACATAGAGAGCTTGGGCTCCCGTTAGGCACATCACTCACATGTTAACCACAGAATTAGCATGTGGAATAAAAGCTCCACACGTGGCCTGGGATGAGCTGGGACTTCATACTGCTCCACAGAGTGCAGAGGTAGATGCACCTTTTCATCGAGCACTTCCCATTTAACTGCTCCGAATTGCAGAAAAGAAATTCCTTCTAGGCCATTGATACTTCTCACTGTTGACTTGCCTATGTATAAATGCAGTGCAAATTTGTCACCCCCCTCAAGAGTTGATGATTACTGTAACTCAGGCCTCTGTGCCAGGGAGAGACGCGTTCCCTGGACGTGTGTCTGCTGGAACCACAACTTCAGTTAACAGGTCTAACGCATCTCAGTGCATTTTCATGTAAACATCACATTCTGGCAACACAGGGGCACAAAGTCTACAGAAATAAATAATCCGACATTTTCTGTACCAACGGAGGAAAGGAAGGGCCAGATGAAGCTTCTGCAGGCAGAGCACTCAGTAGATCAGCCTTGTCTTGCATCTAGTGCAGGGCATGGGCAGCATTTGCTGAGCTGCAGACAGAGCCAGACACTTTTCTGCCCTTTCCATGAGTTTTCCAAGAAATCCGAATTGTGTTGGAGTCCCTCCAACAAAACATCCCCCTCAAAGTGGGGCTAAACTTCAAGAGAGAACAGCTCAGCTCTTGCTTTTGACCCACTGCTTTTGTTTGTCTCCTACAGACAGGCCACGTGCTTGCTTAGGCATCAACATCTTTCAAACCTCTTCTTCTGCCTAAAACGTACTGATTTACTGACCATTTTGTTCAGAAACTTTATCCAGCTCTCAAGTTCATGGGTTGTTTTTAGATCCCATGATAACGGCCTTAAGAAAAAACTTAAGAACAACAGATCTAAGATAAGAATTAATAGCATCCAGACGGCTCCAAGGCAAGAAACAGAAATAAATGATCCTCTTCTCTCCCTGATCTTTGCTTTGCTTTTAAAATGTACAGGCTTGAATCACGTCCTGGATCACAAATATGTAGCTCTGCTGTAAAAAAGTACCTGGGCATTTGACTGGGCTGCTGCCTTGCTGCCCCAGCTCGATCACATCATGTCAATGCAATAACCACAGCCTCACCTGGAAAGCCAGCTAAAAAGCAGCTAAAAAGGGGTCCAGACACAGCACAATTGCACAGTTGGATTTATTTACTGATAACATAGGGAAAGATGAGACCAGTTATGAAGTGACACCAGAGTGGCTTCTTGCACACAACTTTATTGCCCTTGCGCAACAAAAAATTCACAATGCTGAATTTTTCCACAAGTTCTGAGGCATTTCTTAGCATTTTCTTTTACATAAATCAGTGCTGTGGAGATATTCTGATCAGCGCGTGCAGCTCAAAACTTCAGTATTTCCCAATAGGTATTTGGAGGATAAAAAAAATGGGCCTGGATTTTCAGAAATTAAATGCAAAAAATTGCAACATGTGCTTTAATGATGTCAACAAGAACCATCGTAACTTGGAACTGGGAAACATAGGGTAAAATCATGCTGGTGCTGCAGTTAGAAAGAGGTTTCGTTCCTAAATCCAAAGGGGGGGGAATTGAGACAACAGTTGGACCCGTATCCAGCAGTTTTGTGTCCCTCTCAAACAAGGTCATTCTACAACCTATGGGATTTCTAAAATCTGTCACTTGAAAGAGAAATTTGTCACTTGTGGCAGTTATTTTGCGTGCAATCCCCTGTGTTTTTGTAAAAGGCGACATATCTCACCTCATGGTCCCTGCAAATCTACTACATATACTTAAATTATATCTCTATATGTTATATAGGTATAGATATAAATACATATGTATTTTACACACAAGGCAAGACGTCGGTAGGAGAAGTGTTTGAGGCACTCTTGCCTGTGAAACAAATGCAATTCAAGAGGTGCCAACACTCCTATGCTCACGCCTCAGCTCTCTCTGCCTCTTCCCTGCCAGCCTTTCCCTCCAATACCCCAATTTTCTCTTTATTTTTATTAACAGCCCCGCCGCAGGTCGCCACTCCGCGGGCCGGCCCGATGGACAGCGAGCTGCCCCAGCCCGGTCCCGCCCCGCTCCTCGGTCCCGCCCGGCCCCAGCCGCCCCCCGGGCGCAACCCGACCTGCCCCCGGCCCAGCCTTTAGGAGCAGCCGCCGCCGCCGCGCTCCCTCCTCAGGCGCCTTCCCGCCTCTTCCGCTTTCCCGCCCTTTCCGCTGCGCACTTTGCGTAGCGGCGGGCGGCTCGGCCGCGCTGCGCTCCCGTTGCCTGCGCTCCCTTGCGTAGGGCTAGGCAAGTTGCGCAGCGCCGCGCTGAGGCGGCTGCAGCCGACCGCGGGCCCGGGCTGCCCTTGGCGCTTTTATTTGCGTTTTGTTCTTCATTCAGTGGAGGTTGATGCTTGTTACGAACCCCTGCGATATCGGTCATCCTCTAGTACCGTGAAGGGGGCTTAGCAGGGAAATTGCTGTGAGCAGAAGTTCTTGGCAAAGGCTTCTGAAACTTTAGGTGAATAGTTGGCCCAATCTGCGTATTTGAAATAGCACTCTGTTCTAAGATACATGGAGTGAAAACTTTCTCTTTCCTATTTTTTTTTTTTTTAAATAATGTTGTTATATATGCACTATGCAATTAGGCTGGTGCAGCCCAAATGTATGGGAAGAAACAAAGTGTTTTCTTCCCCATGAATCTTTCTGTTATTAGGCAGAAAATAGATTTTTTTTTTCCTAGGACTTCAGGACGACGTCTTGCCCTCTTTGCCTAATTTCTTTTATCTACTGCTCAGACACTATGTGTATTTATGTACGCGGGAACTGCAGCACATCGGCTTTCTTTCTTATCAAACACAAATATTTACGACAGACCCAATCCAAAGTCTACTGAGATGGGTGGAACACTTAAAAATGTAACGAGAAGAATCTCCTGATTCCTTGCTTAGTTTTAGTTAGGCCGGAGGGTATTTTATTAGAAGTAAGTTATTATACCATTTAAATCAAATTGAGAAAAATAACAACAAGATCATTACTTCAGGTTTACTTGCCAAGTCAGTTATATGGGCTCCTTGAGGAGCTTTATCGTCTGTAGTTCCTGTTAGCGAGGGAGCTGTAAAATGTTTTGACCTGAGTTGTCAATGAGGAACAGACACGAACGTCAACGAGCAATTAACAGTATTAATCTTTAATGGATGTATTGCTTACAGAAATACTACATGGGGCATAACCGCAATTAATGAATTTCTTTCCTCCCCAGACAAGGAGTTACGGGCATCTCCAGGCCGTGCTTCAGGGAAGGATGGCAAGAAGAGAGGTGTGAGAGCGCCAGCTGAAACAGGAGTTGAGGTGAAAAGAACCAGGTCAGTGCTAAAGAACAGCAAGGGAGGGAGAGAAGTTGGAGCGTCAGCAATTTGAGAGCCTTGTCGCAGCCTGAAGATTAGCAGTGTTATTCCACCATTTGTTTTCTACATTCGTGTGTAATTTAAGATGCTGTCAACTGACATTCTCTTTTCCTGGTGCCCTCACTTCCCATACCTACTAACAACCATTTTGACCGAGATTAAAGTAATAAGCTGTGCTAAAGTGACCATCTCCCAAAGCGTATGTGTGTTAAGAGAGTAGAAAGCACAATAGCAGATAGAGATTTTTGCAGGATAACATCTGTAAGGCATTTTGGATGATGTTCTTCTGCACTCGTCCAGAGATAACAAGAACAAAGTGACAAAAGCAGAACAGCAAAATTACCTGTCTGAAGCACAAATCACAAATAGCCTGCCATTTTATGTGTTAAAAATACCACATATAAATAGTTCACTCTGTTCAGGCGGTAAAATTGAGCACTACTATGTATTGGCATTGAGTCTTAGTGGAATAAGAGCCACATTTGGTGAGGTTGTTATGGGAAAGGTTAATTCCAGAGCCGGCTTGCCGAGCACTGCTCCTCACTGGCCGTTTTGGGGTGGCAGCTCTGGGACATCGCATTCAAGCGATGGCGCTGATGTTGCTGCCCTTGTGGCAGGAGGAGAGCGAGTTCCCGCTGCAGTAGAGCTTGGGGTTGCAGCAGAGCACCAGGGACATGATCACCCCCAGCGTAAGCATAAGGCAGATGACCCATTTTATCAGCCCGGAGTACAGAAAGGGGAGGATGAGGATGGTCAGAATCACGAGAAGCAGCAAGAGCAGCACCAGTCTCTGGATGGCCAGCCTGTTGTCCGCGGGAGCGTGTTGTTCTCGGGATGGAGTGTCCTGGCTGGTTTGAATCCAGCTCTTGCTGTGCAGTCCTGTGGGAGCCATGTACATCTCCAGAGCTAAGTGAGGGCTTTCCAAGTGCTCCATGATGTCGTCTTTATCGTGAAGCGTGCGGATGAGTCCTCCTAACACGATGGTTTCTTTTCTGCACAGAGGGCAGGTGATGGTCCACGTCCTATCGTCTTTCCTGAGCATAAGCTTGAGGCAGACGGCACAGAAAGCGTGCTGGCAGGCCAGCAGCTTTGGTGCTCTGTGAACGCTGTACCTGTTGAAGCAGACCAGGCAGTCCATATCCACTGGAGATGCCTCAAGCGAACGCCTTCCAGAGCCAAGTACCCCAGGAGAGGTTGACAAGCTCGTTACGGATGTGGGTGCCTCTGTGTTTGGGCTGTCCCTTCCCGAAGCTGCTGGTTTAAAACCCCCTGTGCTGTCCCGCTCTGTGCTGGGTAGCCCCCCCATTTCTTTACCGTGCTCCTCGGTGGGTGCCAGTCCATTCCCATCGGTGGCGTTTGCCGTGAGCGCTGCTGCTGGGTGCATTCCTGGAGCGCGTCCCGCAGGGTGCTCTGGGCTGCCCTTTCCCAGCTGCGGCAATCCGGGAGCTGCTGCTTTGTTTCCCTCCCCGTCTGTAGTTTTCTCCATGGAGTAAACCTTGATGCCGGTTGCCCTCCCTGAACTGAAGGGCTGCTGAGTTTCTGGCTCCTCTTATATGCTGCTGCGTTCCAGTTGTATGGAAGATTGCTCGGTGGCACCGTTAAGTGTGTTGTGCTGCAACAGGAACGTTCCTATGAGACAGGGCCCCAGTTAATGATTAACCTCCTGGCTAAGGTATTTTACAACGGCTGATAATATTGCTGAGCAGTTCCCTTCCTGAAGCAGACCCTGGAGCATCAACAGTCTGAAACCTTGTTCGCGTTGCCATTATTACTAAATTTACTGGTATTAGATACCTTTTATCTTCCATTTTCTTGGAGTTTGCAGGCAGAATGGCTGCACTGGTGAGAGTAGCCTCTGTTGGGGGATTTTCAGCCCTTCTGAAACTGCCCAACAACATCCGTCCTCTATTTTTCTTTTTCTTTTTTGAACAGTTTCTCACTAGGGATCCCATGGAAGTAAGAAAGAAAAGGGCGGGCCGTTAATCCCCTTAAAAGCAGCCTATGTCATTTACTTGTAGCAGAGTGCGAAGCCCAGACTGCCCCTGAACGCCCGAGCTGTCCCTGCCATGTGTCCCCAGCCACAGGACAGCAGACACCTCAAGCAAATGCAACAAGAAAGGCAAGGGAGTTCAGGAGGACACAGAAAAGTGACCGGTGGATAAGGGAGGTGGGAACTTGTTCTCCTTTGGGAAGAGGCAGGTTTATTGGTAGCAGAGTGCGCAGGAGTCTGGGTGCTGCTGCAGTGCTTGTGCTCACATGGAATACGCAGCAGGTCATGGGCAGCGGGTGACGCAGGTGTTGGGAGCTTTCCATGCATCCGTTAAAAACTCGGCCAGGTGAACTGAGGCCTCCGTGTCCATTTACCCCGTCTTTCCACGGTGAGCGGGTGCAACTTCTCTGGTTTTCCAATACATCTATTGGAAATTCAAAGCTGGCTACTGATGAAGAGCTTGGGCAACTGTGGAGTAAAGGGGAAACGGAGCACGTTGCGGCTCGGAGGCCTTTGCAGAGCTGTCTGTTCCCAGGGAACAGGTTACACTTCCACACCGATGCGGGATCCATCGGGATAGTCCAGTGGATGTGCCCAGAGCAACCCGAGTTGTGTTCTCAGCACTGCTGATCGGATCCCTGTGATCTCTCCGAAAGGTTTTGTTATTGCTCTCGTTGGATCAAAGCTGTTTATTTACTGGTGTCCTGCAGCAGTGAAGATTGAGCCGGGCGTTCAGGACCCGTCTGGAGCTGGACCGTGTCTTGGTTGTGACTTTCCCCGGCTGCTCTCTTTGCTCTGGTCACCTGAGTTGACTCGAGCCCTTTATTGCTATTTAGTCAATTACCACCTCATTAATCATTTGCAACTAGTCCATAAGGGCATCCTGTTTTCCTGCTTCGGGGACATTGGCCTAAGAAGATGCATTTCTGTGGAATGTTTCTGCTCATTGTAACAGGAAAGGGATGCAAAAGAGCAGTCTTATCATTTCTGATTTACAGAATGATAATGTGTCATTCCAGCTTGTCATGGGCTTTGGAGTTTAGTAATAACATTCAAACCTGAGAAATTAATTTATTAAATTGGGAAACTGAGTTTTCTTAATGCGAAGCCGCTTGTTGTGTCAGTTGTCACCGTGAATGAACGGAGGGGTTCGTGAATGCGCGGTGACCTTTGGCGTTGCAGCAGTTCTCCTGTTAAGAGGCTGGTTTCTCTTACGGGCGTTGCTGGTGGGCTCTGAGCGGGGGTGGGCGCTGCAGCGCGTCCCGCTCGGGAGCGGCCCCCGTGCTGGGTGCTAACAAGCACCAGCTCCCGCCGGCCGAGATAAACGGGTTTAATTAATAAACGGGAAAACGTTTATTACGGTGCCGAACGAGCCCCGGGCCCGGCCGAGAGCCCCGCGCTGCTTCCGGACCCGGCCCCGCCCCGCCGGCCGCTCGCCCCGCCCCCCTCCTCTGGAGGACTGCCCCGCCCGCAGGGGCGGCCTGGCGCTGCGGTCGCGCAGGCGCTCTCGGTGGCCGCGCAGGCGCCGTGGCGGCGCTCTCGGTGGCCGCGCAGGCGCTCTCGGTGGCCGCGCAGGCGCTCTCGGTGGCCGCGCAGGCGCCGTGGCCGCGCTCTCGGTGGCCGCGCAGGCGCACTCGGTGGCCGCCGCAGGGCCGCATGTCC